CCCCCTCCCCCCTTTTTTTTAAAATTAAATTTTTTTCACGGGCAAGCTGATTAACCGCGGCCCGTGAAGGTGCAACTTGACCCCTGAACCGCCCGTCATGGGTCGGCCCACGGTCCCGGATCTATCCGAGCCGGCTTTCACAGGTCGGCCGACCTGTCCGTCTTGACACCTCTACGTGTCAATGTGAAGAATAAGTGTCATAATGCGTTTCGTATTTTTAAGGCATTAAATATATTTTTATATAAAAAAAATAGATTTTTTACCAAAAAAAGGCGGTGCATAGGCGGGATTAGGCGCGCCTGGACGGCACATTAGAACAAAAACGCATTTTTCGCGCATTCCCCAAATTCGACGAATTTTTTCCGCGTGTCGCGCCTAAGCGGCGCATTTGCGCGCATTTTATAACATGGGTTAAATCCATTTAGTCTCAATCATATAATCTATTAAGAAATTCTGCTCCCCCTGCTCTCCCCTCTTTTTAGTGACTGCATGTTAATTTATAACTACGTGCGTCATAAATTAGCATAAAGAATTCAATCGGAACAGTTTTTTTCTGATGTATTAACATATAAATTAAGATTTAAGAGGGAACTGGAACTCGTGCTAAAGTGTTATAGCTCCATAAAATAAGTAAAGAGACAAACCTTATCTTGATCAGCCTGGGGACGGCGCATGGAAATCTCCAACACCAGTGACAGAACAGCTTCTGTTTCCTCAGGTTTAGCCTCAGCATATTCTTCTTCAGGCTCATATAGCATCTCTTTATCGTCTAAGATATCCTCAGGCCTCAATTCTTTCTCTCTCCATGTCCACGAGAAATATCTATATTAGGAGTAAATACATCAATGTAGCTTGTGAGCATATACAAAATGTAATAGTGGCATAAAAAAAAGTAAAGAAAGAATGAAGCTATATGACATTTTATACTAACGTTTTCCTCACCTTCAATCTGATTCTGCACTGCATACCCAACATATTTTACATCATCTGAGTCCCCAAAAACTTCATAGATTAAATTTTTGATGATAATCTTCCGTTTCTGTTAAACAATCCAAAGAGAAGAAGAAAAAGAGGCTAGGGTTTTATTGATTCTGCATAATGTAATTGAATGAATAAAACCTAGATACAAAGAGACTATATATATAGTCAAAAATAAAGAAAACTTAAAAGACTATTCTACCCTTAATAAATAATGTTAACAAAATA